TGGATACGTATCCATCATGCACAGAGGATGGACTCTTTCTTTCAATTCCCTTGCCCCTTGCAGTCTTCTCAAGGGCCTGAGGACGGATAGCCCTTTTCATTTTCCGCCCCCAAAATCCCAAAGGGTTAAAAATTATAGTAGAAGAAACAGACCAATCTTAATTAGTTTAAACCTCTTACTTATCCCATCCAGTACATAGGAAATGGCAGACAGAAATGTAAGGCCATTTCCTACGTACTGGAAAGGAGTAAAGCATCAATTGCATCATCAGCCGGAAGAGAGTCCAGCAGACACTCGGCCTTTTTATCTGCTATCCAAGGATGTTCAGCTGCTTGTTTTGTTTTGGCTTATGGAAATGCTCAGAAACTCAATAAAGTCACCAGAGAGAACCGAGTATCTGAGAACTGTTCAGCTGCTTGTGAGTCTCTGCATGATAATTCCTTTTTGTTTCCTAATGCTTATGGGACAGGGGAAGTTTTGCAATAGGACCCAAAGATAATGAGAGGCAACAATAATGACTGCAAAGAGCCTAACCCCCAGGGCTTTTTCTTATTATAATAATTGTCCCATAAGAGCTAAAAGGAATGTGTAGAAGCAAACAGTTCAAACACCATGTGCACAACATGCTGGAGGAAAATGTTGCTGTTATATCAGATAGGCTTGTCCCTCCGGAGGCCACAATAGCCCATGGGTGGGCTTTACCTGAGGTCTGGGAAAGATTGGGTGAGCTATGAATACCTCAAAACTCAAAAGCACCATCACATCATTTCTATCTGAACTACAAGAAAAAAACTTTGGACCCTGATCCCTCCACTACCCAACCAAAAGGCATTATATATGCTCCCTAAAATCCACAAACAAGGGAACCCCAGCAGACCTATCATTTCCAACCATGGAGTCCTAACTAAAGAAATATCAGCTTTCCTCAAATCCATCCTAAAACCTCTTGTCACCCAAAGACTGAGTTTTATCCAAGACACAACAGACTTTTTATGAAAACTCAAAAACACAGACCACCTTCCCAGCAATATCCAGCTTATATACCAACATCCCACACCAGGATGGCATCCAAGCCTGTTTCACAAGAACAAGATTACAACTCACAGTACAGACCTCAAGATATTACTGAAGTTGTATGTACAAGTGAACCTTACACACAACAACTTCAGTTTCAACAACCAACACTTCCTGCAGACCGTGGGCACAGATTTGGGCACCAAGATGGCCCCACAATATGCCAACCTTTTCATGGCCCACCTGGAAGAAGAATTCCTCAAAACCTGCACCATCAAACCTGTGCTATACCTGAGATATGTAGATGACATCATCATTTGGGCTGAAAACCTTCAGTCTCTGATTTCCATCACAAGTTCACCAATCACCACCTGTGCATCCAACTATCTCTTTAATACTCAAACACCAAATTTCTTTTTTGGATACCGTGTTCAATATTCAAAATGGTAAAATACAAACCACCACATACAAGAAATCCATGCAACATACATACCTACACAGAACAAGCAATCAAATCACCCTAAATATATTAAAAAAGCTGTAATTTACAGCCAAGCTCTGCGATACCACTGAATTTGCACCGAGGAGAATACCTGCAATCGTCACCTGAAAAATCTCAAAACAGCTTTCACCCAACAAGGACACTTCTCCAGAGGCATAGATTGCACTTTTGAAAAAGCCACCTGGATGCCACATGAAGTATTGCTGCAGTACAAAAAGAAAATCCCCTGAAATTGCACATCATTATGACATGCCATCCTGCCCTGGAACCTATATGGAGAGTGGTCAAACAGTTGTAACCCATACCTGAAGTAGACCCAGTTCTCAAAGAGATCTTTCCAGAACCACCCATCCTAGCTTTTAAACAAGCACCAAACTTTGCTAACCTCATCACCAGAAGAAAACTCCCTATGACCCAAACCACACCAAATGGATCCAGACCATGCCAGGAAAAGAAATGTAAAACCTGCCAACACATCTTCCTCCCACCCCACAATAACTGCACCCCACAACAGAACTATCATAATTCCTGGATCTTACACCTGCACCTCCAGAAAAGTTATATATCTCTTCCAATGCACCAAATGCCTTGATGGAAAATATGTAGGAGAAACCAAACAACAACTGCACACGAGAATGAATGCACACCGGAAATCCGTCAAGATAAAAACATCCAGTTACCTGTGGGTGCCCACTTCTCACAAGACAATCGCTCCCTCTCCAATTTCTCAGTTCTAATCCTCAAAGGGAAATTACAAAACCCCTTTCATAGACAAGCCTATGAACTTCACTTAATAAATCTGGATACAAAAAATCATGGATTTAATATAGACATTGGATTTATGAGTCATGATAAACCTGCCTGACATCTGACTCACCAGGTACCTGCCTGAAGCTGATCATTTACATTCCTTCACACATCTTCCCCCCTGCCCTTTTCCACTCCTATCTCTACCCATTGTCTTCCAAACTTCTGCTCATTTACATTTTTACAGACTTCTTGTCACACGTTTTGTTTCTTTTTTACCTTGGAGAACTCAGAACAACAGCAGTCTTCCAATGCCTGAAGAAGGGTGTTTGTGTGTGAAAAGCTTGCAAAGAACTTTTTTCCAACTATTTAGTTGGTCTAATAAAAGAGATCACATCTACCCAAAGAGCCTTGCCGGCCTATGTCCGTAGACCAACATGGCTACAAGCAATAACCCTGAAACTTGACATGTACCACTCTGGATTTTGAGAAGGAACATCTCCTTGGTACAGCCCTGGTAGAGGGCTCTTGGAAAATCCTGCTGGACACTGTTGCCAAGCCTGTTTATAATAAATGGAAATGGGCTTGTTTTTTAAAAAAGTTGCTTTAATTTTTAGAGAGGCATGGGTTGTGTTTTTGGGGGGCTTTTTTTATTTGCAGGTTGCTCATTTAGGGCTTTTTTGTAATGCAGTGGTTCCCAACCTGTGGGTTGCCGAAACAAGATGGGGTCGCGGAAGGACCTGGCCTGGGCAGCATGAAGCTTTCAGCTGGGGCTGCTGCTGCCACCCCAGGGACCTGCATGCCTTCCCCAGTGTCCAGCCTGCTCTGAGCAACAGATAGGGAGAGGACGGATGCCTGGGGAGGGGGCTGCAGCTGGGCGGGAACATGGTCCCCACACCCAGGGCAGCAGGGGGAGCATGGAGCTTGGGTGGGCAGGTTGTGGGTGTGAGGGAGGGTGGGAG